TGGAATCGGAATCGTGAAAATCTTATCAATACCCATCCCTATATCTGCGGGTCTTGCACCTCAAAATTTGCACATGTACAGTACGTACCAATTTTTAGAACTTCTTCCACTGCTTGTTCAGCAAGTTTATTGATGTTGTATGACCTGTGGAGCACAAGAGAGAAGATTGTGAGGGAGCTAACAAGTGTAAAGACACGATTCTTTTCATTCTTATTTGTAAGGCGATATCATGCTTTACATCAATGGCTTTCATAATTTATAGGAAAAATAAAACGTGACAAAAATAAAACAATGTCTAAGTAAAGAATCAGCATTTTTAGTAGTAAATCACAGCTGGGCCAATATAAATTTTATATCTATCTGTGTGTGTTTAAGTCTTGCCTGCATCTCCTTTCAATGTTAGGTGAAGTTTAATAATATTAATCTGAATATTAAAAGCTCTTCATGGACCAACCAGAAATGAATCAAGTGTTTGGAGCCAACTAAGAGAAATTTACTTAAGTTTGGTTGATCCACACAACGTGATAAAGGCCCACTGGCTATTATTACTGTGCAGCTGTGCTCATACAGATGTTACAACCTAGGTTTTTCCAGTGACTTGAAACTTTTCCCATCACATCACACTTTTTACAGTCCAGTAAGAATTTGCTCACTTATGTGAAGAGACTATGAACCTATGAGGTTCATTTGCACCTGACTCAAGCATCAAAGCTTTAAATGGTGCAGGAAGAGCTATTCCTGGTGCAGGAAGGTGATTAGGAACTACTTTTTTAAACATTTAAAGTTGTTTTGTGTACCAGGCTTTGGATCCTGTTCCTGTGCATATGTTCAGTCCAGAACTCTTTTGTTTTTCCCATGGGCCATCATCCACGGAGATCTCGTAGTAGGAAGCCCTATGGAGCAAGAGGTTAACATGGGGTTTGAAGGATTTTAACTTCACCCTGTGGTGGACAGAGATTTTTCCTGATGAGTGCTGGAAAAGCATGCAGCATGCCAGTGAAGGGACTGAGGATTTATGAAAATTACAATATGCAAACATGCTTAGATGGGAGTAAGAATCTGTTTCCGTGATTAAGGTACCTGGAAGACAGAGATTCTCCAATGAAGATTTCATTTAAGCTTCTAACAGGGAGAAGGCTAGGCTTGTGGAAGGTCTCATGTAGTGTTCCTGTCCCTAGAAAGAGTAATTGAATTGGGAAAAGGACGCAGGGAAAGAAATCAAGAAAACATCAATATAACTCCAATCTCACGCCATGTTTGCACAAACTCAGGATTGAGTGACACTGGAGAAAAGAGACTGGATCAGACAAGCATGCTGAGTGGGTCGTACTGTTTAAGTTGTCCATAGAGGTGAAGCGGTGAGCTTGGTTGTGCTGCTCCAGGCTGAGCTGCTGTTCGTGGAGGTCCACTGGATTGGGATTTATTCCTGTTCCCTCTAAGTGCAGACGGATCCTCTGACGCCACAGCCACCTGAAGACAGCCAGGGAAATGTAAGGGGACGAGATCTGCAGTCTCAAGAGGCGTTAGCCTTGTGTCTGCGCCATTTCTCCATTTTCTATATTTGTCTCTGAATCCTCTTTAGACCACTTTTATGAGAAGAGGAGGTCTACTTTGAAACATAACTACAGAATCTGAGGAAATAAAACGGTGACACTAAGACAGCATCCCAAATATTCATTTTTACTGGACACTTTTACCAAAACTCTTGACAGTGGGCAGCAGTGAACTCTAGTAGCAGGACAGTGTAAATGGATTTAGGATATCCGACTGAGTTTGACGACACAGCTTTGGGGTGTTAGACATCATGTGACTTTTCCCCAGACACACAGATTTAAACTCCTGAACTCTAAGCTAATGACATGTCAACAACTCCATGGTGTTCAGTACGCTATAGCCAGCAGCAAAGAGTTATGGACTATTTTCTGTACAACTTTGAACATAAAATAATCCACTGGTATTAGTTAATAACATAATGCAGTTGTCAGGGCCTTCAATACAGACACAATGATACAATTTTGCATTTTTACCTCGCAGAACCACAGTACATTTTAAATCAAACATGTTATTAAAGTGCAGAGTTTTCACTTTAACTCAAGGTACTTTACACTTTAACAAAAGGTATTGCATTAACTGTTTAACTACACTCATTTCATACACATTCCCCCATTTCCATTGGTAAGTTACCTGATTTAAAAGCAACTGTGGTTGTGCACAGAGGCAAAACTGCAAAAATTCAGCCCCTGTCCAAATACTTATGGACCATAACTGTAGATTGTCACTACTGAGCCAGAAAAAGCTGCTAACATTGAGGAAGGCGTGAGAGCAGTCAGCATTTGTAGATAAAAATACACACCTGAACTCACCACGGCACAGCTTCTCCAGTGCCTCTGGGAAGGCACGAGTGTATCGCACAGGCAGGCACAGATGACCTTCTGACCTTCAGTAGAAAGACAAAACTTCAATATACTCACCTGGAAATGTTAACCAGCAATCGGCTGGCTTAATCCCATGAAAAATTCAACTTATTTAAATACTTACACACCACTGCACTGAGAAATTTACATTAATGACTTATTGAGTTTTTCAATAAAACACACAGTCTTTATTATTGTGGGCTTACTATGCTTTACATTTACTTTCTGTTGTGTGTATATATACACTGTTCCAACAGTGGATGTGGCCAAAATTTCAAAGAATGAAGTCAGTGTACTTGCAAATAATTATTGCAAGCTAAAAAATTCATGTCTGTTCTAAATACTCATTTTCAGACAGTTTTCCCTTCTTCTGGCTCTGCGACAGTGAAGAGCCCCAATACATGTAAGACAGAGGATGAACTAAAGGGGCGGATGAAGGTCCAGCATAACGATAAAGATCGTCTCCAGACCATGCAGCACTAGTGCTGGAGGACAAAACGATCACGCTATTTTAAAAATGTTGATGACAATGATAAATTCAATCAATACACATGGCTTATCGGGCCAATAGATGTTCTCCCTCTCAACCCTGGTACCAGGGGCAATGGGGTTCAACAGGTTAACGTGGCTATAATACCCAACAAGTAATACCGAAAAGCCAGCTGCTCAGGAAGAGATAATACAGGTCGCAAAAAGGCAAAAGTGCAGAAGTCGTTCAGTTTCCTCCATTCAGACTGAGCGCAGATGGACAGGTTAAAAAAGACACAGCGCCGACAGGTCCTGACAAAGTTCAGTAAAATGACACACCTCTTTCATTACTTTCAAAAATATGCAAAAGAATGTCTATTAAACTTCAAACTGTGAACAGGCTAGTCTTATTAATTGGAGGTACAGGTGCAATTATTCAGATACAATACATTAGTTTCTATTTCTATTTACATTCTATTTACATTTTTTTATGCCTGCACTGTTAAACAGTACAGCACAGTGTTATACTGCCAGTTAATTTGAGTTAATTGTATTTTTTAATGCATGTAAACCAGTAATTTCCCCATGTTTCAGGTAATTGTAGCCTATTAGTTATTAATACTTTTTCTTCAACTTTCAATTTGTATTAAAACAAACAGCTAGCTTAGAATACTAACATGTACCTACATCTATATCAATAATTACCAAAATTGTTTAATATAGAAAAATAACATTAATAGTGATAATAATTTGGTCTACATTGCCCAGCTCTATGCAGAACTAGCCCAACAACAAAAATATGGAGTTGTACACTAACATAATAGGTCCACTTTAATTTAACAATACAATTCATATCCAACAATGGTCTGTTCTGTGCTTTACCTTTCAGGGTCTGTGTTAACTCCAACGACTGGTTTGTCTTTGCTAAAAACCTTACTGGCCACAAGTAGCATTGTTCCATCACCTAATAAACAAAAACAAAAAAACCCCCCACACAATTCCAGTTACTGAACTTGGATTTTGTTAAAGAACAAAGAAAGTGAAAGACAAGGAAGAACCTTTTATTCTGTGGTTATTACATTAACAGAATATATACTGGTAATGACCATATAAGCCGTTATTGATGTTCTACATTTACAATGAACTTACTGTCCCAAGCAGACAGCTTTGTTGTACAAATGATACGTAGGATGACAAAATATTCCTACCTCCAGCAGAGATAATGGTATCTGCCCACCGCACTACATCTTCATTGTATTCTCCTCTTTTTACCACTTGTACAGTAATGCCTTCTCTCCTGAAAACAAACAGAATACAAAGAGAGTCCCAGCTGCAAGCACTTCCCATTTCTCTAAGAAACATTGCTGTTGGACGGTATCTTACTGCAGGCTCTTCACAATGTGCTCCACGTTGCTAGTGTGGATGTTGTGTCTTTCCAGAAGGCCATTGTAGCTGGAGCCCTTCATAGCAAGCTGTAGAACACAGATTAAGTAAAACACTGGGTGAAGGGTAAAATGTAAAGTGGCGTGTTTGCTTTGTGGTAGTCACATGAATGCAGTCTTACCAACTGCTTTAGATCTTCTTCAGAAACTCCTGCATAGCGATACCGCTGCTGTTCAAACTCATACCGCGTAGTCTTTGTGACCACTGCTACCTTTTCTGGTTTGAACCCAGCTTTCGGTTGTGGTGATGCGCTGCACAGTGAAGCGTGGAGGGGGCGAAGAGTGTTTCCATACAGCAGGCTGATGGCTCGACTCCCGTGGCACAGCACCGAACGGCGAGCCATCCTTATTAAATGAACCTACAACCAAAAACTTCACAAAGGTCCGGTTAGAGTTACTCAGGGTCCTGCGTAGTGCAGCTGTTAGGGAGCGCACATACTGACTCCTGTCAGTACTCGACAGATGTTTCACAGTCAAGTGAGATCCACGCGCACACAGCTGTCAAGGACGGTCACCACCACGCTCGCCCCGTGCTGCAAGATGAAGACGTTAAGATTTAACTGTCCGAGTAAAGTATCTCCTCAGAACAGCACTAAAACGCCAAGAACAGCAGTAACCTTGCTGCTAACTAGTGATTCTTCTAACCATATTTGGCAGAACCGGACTTTTCCAGCTGAGCTTAACAAGCTAAAAGTAGCTAGCAGCTTGTTCACAAGTCGTTAGCCTGTCTGCCTATCACATCTTTTTCACTGGGCTAACTGTTGTCGCACGCCACAGTCAAGCCGTGCTACGCTCCAAAGCTCCTTAAACACGAGATAACACCCATAAGAAGGTGAATAATACGCGACAACATAGAAAACAGTGGAAGCACAAACCATGCAACCGGGCACGTACTCAGGCTGTACGTGCGTGCGTGCGTACGTAACGTAGCATCTCATTGGCTGGTCGAAGGGCCTTGGTCCAGCTGGAGGCGGGTCTGCCCTGGGACAAAAAACAAACAAACGGATTTCTTGGTGTAAGCGCCCCAGCATGAATGATCAGTCCAAACAGAACAGACACACACGCTAGCTACCAGCAGTGGCTCATTGTCAAAGCAGCTATTTATTTGACTTGAACCTCTCTCTAATTATGTCAATATGTAATTATGTTTAGTAATTTGATTGGGCAATTAATTGTGAGTACTGAAAATGACCAATGGTCAATGCTTAATCTGCAGGATTTATGGTCCCCCAAAATTGTCCGTCTTCGTACACTTTTCGGTCAGACAGACAGGGGAGAGGGGCTCTCACCCACACGCGACGCGCTGCAGTGCCTTGAAGCAGAAATCAAGACGTGCACGACCGGGTGTTGTGCCAAAAAGTGATCGGCTGACAAAAACTGATTTCCTGTATTTGCCAAAAGTTGATTGACTGCTTTCTTACATTTGCACAATATCTCTAGAATCAGAGTGACGCTAAAAAAAATCATTTATGCATTTATTACTTCTAGGCTGGACTAGTGTAATTCATTATTATCAGGAGGTCCTAAAAACTCACTGAAAAGCCTTGAGTTGACCCAAAGTGCTACAGCAAGAGTAGTGACAGGGACTGGAAAGAGAGAGCATATTTCTCCTGTATTGGCTTCCCTTCAGCTCCCTGTTAAATCCAGAATTTAATTCAAAATCCTGCTCCTCACATACAAGGTCTTACATAATTATGCCCATCTTATCTTAATGACCTTATAGTACCATATCACCACATTAGAGCACTTCGCCGTCACACTGCAGGCTTCTTGTTCCTAGAGTACCGTATTTAAAAGTAGAATGGGAGGGAGAGCCTTCAGTTTTCAGGTCCCTCTTCTATGGAACCAGCTTCCAGTTTGATTCGGGACACAGACACTATCTCTACTTTTAAGATTAGGCTTAAAACTTTCCTTTTTGCTAAATTTGGGCTACCCTTAGTAATGCTGCAATAGGCTGCTGGGGGATTCCCATGATGCACTGAGAATTTCTTTGTCAGTCACCTTTATCACTCACTTTGTTACCTCTCTGTACTGAATCACACTTGTTATCAATCTCTGGCTGTCTTCCACTGCATGCATTTTGTCCTGCTTCCTTCTCTCACCCCAACTGTTTGCAGCAGATGGCCGCCCCCCCCTGAGCCTGGTTCTTCCGGATGTTTCTTCCTGTTAAAAGGGAGTTTTTCCTTCCACTGTTGCTAAAGTGCTTGCTCATACGGAGTCATATGATTGTTGGGTTTTTCTCTGTATGTATTATTGCAGGGTCTACCTTACAATATAAAGCACCTTGAGGTGACAGTTGTTGTGATTTGCTGCTGCATAAATAGTCAAATCTAATCAATTTATTTATATAGCACTTTTCACAGGATAAAAACCATTAATTTTCTTTTATAAAAAATAAAACTGAATTCAATTCAATTGGATCTTGAGAGTGGACTAAAATTTTGTTTTACACATTTGTATAATGTATAATTTTTGTATAATTGTTCTGTATAATTTTGTATAATGATAAGCATCTTATCTGGTCTATAGATTGAGATCACTTGATGCCAGATATGAGTGGGGGATCTCAAAACAGCACTGTAGGTGATGTCAGTTGTTCTAGTAAGCCAAGCCCTCTGTTCATTGATTGTTCACAATCAACATAGATCGCCTGTCTCACTCTACGAAGGGGTATGATTGCGACATCAAGAAAAAAAATATTATTGATCATTTTGAGAATAATTTTGATGTTCTGAAACAGCGTAGCACATTTTGAATTGCATCAGAATAATTCATACACTATGAAAGGTCAGTCTGACCGGATAGTAAATGGACTGTGGACCTCCATTATGATGCGATGCTCAGAGAAGATATGACCCTGCTGGGTGGGGTCCACGATGTGATGTTCCTTTAACTCTAATGATCTATTACGATCATTCTTTAAATGAACCTGAATGCACAAAAACACATAAAGCATGTACCTACTCATCGACAGCAACATCATATTATATCATATCTACACCCTACCAGCTACACATGACTGAAGCCCCCAAGCCCCAGAGTACAAATGATTTCGAAATCACTAAGTAAAAAACTTGAGGACTCTGCTTCTCCTTGCAGTCTACAGAAGCACAAGAATGGCACCAAGCAGTTAGTCTTCTGTCAGCATTGGAAGATGAACTCAAATCGATTAGTAAAGGTAACCGAGGTAAAAGTGTATACATTCTCCATAACAAAACAATTATTGCTGTAATACTATAACAAATTTAGACTAAGACAATAAGATTCAGACTTAAAAAGTAGATAATAATGACTATAATTATTCTCTTTTTTAATTTAATTTTTTTATAGCTAGAACATGGTATTATTTGATATTGGGGTTTTTTTTTGTTTTTGTTTTTTTACATTAAATCTGACTTATATTCAAATTCATTTTCTGTAGATAGACTATAGGGACACACATTTTGGAATTCTATACTACTTGAGAAATACTTGAGTGAACTTGAGTGAGTGCAAAATATTTAAAAGAGCTACTTTTAATTTTTCTCAGCAAGGGAAACTAAGATCAGTCCTCAATAATGGCCAAAGTTTACCATCAAACATTATCTTCAACTGATTTAGTGAACATGATAGTGAGTGCAGTGAGTTCAGTGAACTCAGCCTAAGTTAGCTATCATAGGGCGAGAGGCAGGGTGCACCCTGGACAGATCACCAGTTTGGCACAGGGCCTCTACAACTATATGTTTTAAATATTTCCTCCATACTGCAGCCTCAAGGACAAAAAATAAAAAGGTTTACAGATGTGTTGCTCCCTCACTCACAACTGAAAAAGATGCTTGGAAGACTTAAGGCACAAAATCAGGAAATAGTCATGGTTAACTGGTTGGCGGCAAAACACTCTAACTGGTTTTGTAAGTTTTCTAATCCCTGTTTTTACCTGAATGAACTATCCATCCATTCGCTTCCGCTTATCCTTTTCAGGGTTGCGGGGGGCGCTGGAGCCTATCCCAGCTGTCATAGGGCGAGAGGCAGGGTACACCCTGGACAGGTCGCCAGTCTGTCGCAGGGCTAACACACAGGGACAGACAACCATTCGCACTCACATTCACACCTAGTGGCAATTTGGATTATCCAATTAACCTATCCCCACAAGCTGCATGTCTTTGGACGGTGGGAGGAAGCCGGAGTACCCGGAGGGAACCCACGCAAACACGGGGAGAACATGCAAACTCCACACAGAAAGACCCGGCCTGATGGTGGAATTGAACTCAGGACCTTCTTGCTGTGCGGCAACAGTGCTAACCACCGTGCCACCGTGCTGAATGAACTAAATGAACCGAATTGAATTGAACTTGTTTACCTGGATATGGTAATCTTATTTATTTATTTATTTATTTATTTATTTTTGTTGCCTGACCCGTTTGGCTCTTTTGCCCTCAGAATTGTTGTCTAAAGGCAAAGAAAGATGCCCAACGGATTTACTTTACCAAATTGACCATCCCAGCCTTGCCATAATTGTCCATTTGATTCACCTTTTATTGTTTATTTTATTTTCACTTACTGAATATGGGACAGACTTGACTGGGGGAAAGAAGGGGAGAAAGAAAGAGGGAAAGAGAAACAGCTGAGAAGAGGGATGGGGGAGAAGGGCAAAAACCAACAGAATGAGCAGAAAAAGAAAAAAAAAATAAGAAAAAAAGAAAAAAAAATGCATATATCGATCACCTGGGTCACCTGCTGAGAAAGAAAAAAGAAAACAAGCAGAAGAGAACAAGAGTAATAGAATAAACAACATCACAATGATATGTGGGAATATGACAGTAAATACTAAATATTAAACATTATTGTGAGAGAAGACTCCACCCCCATTCCCCCCATTCACTTTAAGATATGGTAATCTTAAAGTGCACTCCTGGTCAAAAGTTTTAGAACACCCCAATATTTCCAAATTTTTATTGAAAATTATGCAGTTTGTCTTATTGCACTCTGAAATGAAAGCATAGTACAAATAAGCAATTGGAGTAAAAAACAAAAACAAATCATGGAATCGATTTAGAGACATTAAACCTCCATGTTTGACATTTGACGCCACACACTGTGGAACCATCCTTTCGCCTACTCTATGCTGTACAAAGATCCTGTGTGATGAACTGAAGATTTCAAATTTTGATTCAGTCTTCAGGAGTCCACTGGTGGTGGTACATGGCCCAGGCAAGCTTATCTGTCTTATTCTGACGTCTTAGCAATGGCTTTCTAGCTGCAACTCGTCCTGTCAAGCTTGAAGTCTTCCCTTCACAGTTGAAACTGAGATTTGCTTACTACAATCACTATTAAGCTGTGCTTGAAGCTGTTGTCCTGTATATTAGCTATCATGCAAGCTGTTGCGTGAAGGAATCTACTGGACTATCCGGTTACATCAGGCTCTTTATGTGCAGTTACAACAATGTTTGTTCTTATTTGCTGTCTTTTCTAAGGGCTTTTTAAATGTAGTATTTTACTTTAGTAGAAAACTTGAGTCTGATTAATTAAAATCTTAAGATCTGAAGATGAAATCAACTGAATGCAATCTGCTGTAGACACCAGAATGTTAAACAGTTATTGACAATATACTGCAGAATGCGGTATGTTGATACCAGCTGAAGTCTGCTCATGCAGAGAAAGTAACATGTTAAAGTAGCACCCATACGAAAGCGAAGAGAACTGTAAACATAACTTCCTGTATGTCAGGAAGTCACTGACGGCACTTAGTTCCTCTTTCAGGGTGTGAAACTGTTGCTGTTGTTGAATCTGGAAACATTTGTATATTTGTCTCCAGCCAGAAGATCTGCATCGCTTATCATAGATGAAAGAAGCATCAGCCAACATGGCTCAGGGGGAGCTCAGAGAGTCTGCCCTTACGATCGAGAGCCTCACTGCGCAGCTAGTTGATCTGCAGAAGGAGGTTGG